GGTTAGGCCCGGCCCACCAAACTTCGTAACCCGGGCCGGGCCGGACGGGTTACTTTTCTACCTAGAAATTTGGAATTTTGGTTAGAAGCTCTATGTTGATCCTCTTATCGAAGGTTTCTAGGTTAGGAAGGAGAATTATTTAAATTAATTTTACAACTCTTTTAATCAATATTTTATATTTGGTTGACTGAAATATTAATGTTGAGTTATTAATATAAGTCTCGGGTCGATTTTTCATCAGATTTATTAGTCTTTAAAATTGGATTCACGTTTCACATGAAATGACCTATTAGACTTAAATATTAATGTTAAATATTTTTCTAATAATTTAAACTTTTAAATCACTCATTATTGGGTAGCTCAAGTGGTAGGACAAGCGTTAAATTGTATGGTTAAGGTATATAGCCACTGGTTTGAATCCCTCTAACTCCCAAGATTTAAACAAATGATCATAACAGAAGATTTAAGCAGGTGATCATAGCGGTGAGAGGTTGTACTAATTACCTACAGGAATTAGTCAAAATGTATGCAAGTTGGTTCGAACACGCTATTTAAAAAAAAAAAAAAACTTTTAAATCAAATGATAACTTAACAATATTTATAAAAATTCCTTATGTTTGGTTAAAGCACTTGTACCATAAAATTAAAACGATAGTTACATAGTTAAGAGTTAAAAGATTAAATGAATTAGGACGGATTACTTCTTACTTATTATTGGTGCATAAAATTCAACCATTTAATTGTCCTAATCTAGCACAAGTTTTGTATACTAAATTAGAAATTGGGAAATTTCATTCTACCTCTCATGGAAATTATTAGAAAATGAATTTATGATTTTGAAAATCATTATAGGGAAGTTTCATAAATTTTGTCCAGCGAGACTATTGATGAAAGGAAAAATAAAACAATAATATTTTTTTATTTTTTTATTTTTTTTAAAAGCTTCAAAAGAAACCAATAAAATACTCTAAAAAAGAAGATATTGATCCATTAATTATGTATTGTGAATGTATTGGGAGTTTTAAAATCAAATCTCGCTCTTACTAATATTTGAAAGATCAAAGACGATTAAATTAGAATTGAAAAAGAATCTTGAACCGTTTAATTTCTTTTTATAAACATGAAATGATATTAAAATTTGAAACATCGAAGATAATTGATTTAAATATATAAGTTTGAAAACGAAATCAAGATGTTTCAATTTCTTGTTTTAAACATAAAGTAAAGGAGGGAGATCCAAAACATAACATTATGGGTCGGCAAAAATTAGGAATTTAAAAATGGGCATGGCATGGGCAAATTAATGTTGTTATCAAATAAAATAAAATCAAGTCTTTAATTAATTAACACAATTTCAATGTCTTAATTAATTACCCAGAAAATACACTCATTAACCATAAAAAAAAAAAAAGAAAAAAAAAAACCACCATATCATGTGACCTCATATGAACTGTTATAATTTAATTATTTGTAAGATGTATGATTCATTAAACTTTACATAAAGTTTCGATTTTAATAATAAAAATATCTAAAAAAATCCATATGCTTTTTTTTTTTTTTCGGTGAAAGCTTCAAGATGTTTCCACATTCGAATGTGTGAGACTAATTCTCGATAAAGGCTCGGGTAAATGTCCCTGGCCACATGCTAGCTAATTAAAACTAAATTAAAATGTATTTTATTTTATTTTCTAGTTTGCAATGTAATGAACCCTGATGGATAAGCCAGCTAAGTAGCAAAATGACAATATGAAACATATTCTTTCTCTCTTTTGAGACCACCAATCTTTTTGGTCCATTATTGAAGAGATAAGCCTCATCTACATATCATTGTTGAGACAATAAACCCACACCTATTTGCAGCATTGTTATCGAGTTGTATCTAAAATTTGGATCTTCTTCTGATCTAAGTTTTACAATTTACAATATTGGTAATTAATACCAAAAAAAAAATGTAGTGGTTCTTAAATCTTAATCATATGTTACTACTGATTATGGCATGTCACAAGTTTAAACTATAGATTGTTGGACCACATAATTGAGATAGAATAATTTGGAACTATCAAGACATGTAAAAGAATTGTCCTCCATATCAAATTTTCGACCTACCTGAAAAAAAAATTCTGGTGCGAAAATGGCTATTGACATATAAATCTATAGGATGCAATGATTAACCGTCGTAGCTGCACTTTTGTTAATAGACATCAAACACATTTTCAAATACTAAAATTATTAATAATACAACTTAAAGTATTAAATTACAAATTTTCAAAAACTGTTTCTATATCACGAACCAAACCGACCCTAATTAATGGGTGCATTTGGTTTAATATTTATATCCCTATTCCTAATCTTATTCCCAAAATATTTGTTTGTTTCATTATTTCGGAAATACTATTATATTTTTTAATTAATTTTAGACCCCTTAAGTTTATTAATTTCATAAATACCCCCAAAAAAAGTTTAAAAATTAATAAAAACACCCCCACCCACCTATAGTTACCAGATTTCGACAACCACTATCGGTGGTAGTCAGAATTTGTCACAACGGCCTACAAAAGACCGAAACTTGTTAATAATTTGCCGATCTGGCCTTTTCCAGCCAGATCCACACGGAAAAGGCTAGATCTAGCCGTCAGTGACGGCCAAGGAAATGGCCTTTTGCAGTCGTTGACGGCCAGATCTGGCCATCGATCTGGCCTTTTTTGGCCAAATCCGTGGTGGATCTGGCCGAAAAAGGCCAGATCGATGCACGTCCTTCCAAATTCGACCGGTCTGCATCGTAGCGCCAGATTCCAACTAGATTTCGACAGTGGTGGCCGAAATCTGGCATTGTGTGTGGGTGGGGGTGTTTTTGTCATTTCACAAAATTTTTATATATTGGGGTGTTTAGTTAAATTAGCAAACCTAGGGGTTTTTTTTTTTTTGTAAATTTTTAACTTTTACCTCGTAATAATCACCATATTCAACTATCTAATACTATCTCTAAAATCCTATCCAAAATAATAAACCAAATGCACCCAATAATTCTTTCGGCTAACCAAGTTATAGATGTCTCTATCTCACCCAACTTCTATACAACAAGTACTATTGCTGGTTCAATTTTGGGTAAACTATTCATCAAAATATAGGTTTAAATATGGTTATTTGGTCATCCAATTTCTATACTAATAAATGAGTCCAAATGGTCGTTAGGTTTTGTTTTTAGAAAACGTTTTCAAATACATGATTTTGTATTTTCTTATAACAACGAAAGCACTTTTAGTTCAAGTATTATTTAGGTTGGCCCATATTAGATGAAAATCGGCCCATCCATATATTGCGGCCTCAACAATTGGGCTTATTGCTTTTTTAAAGTAACCCATTATAGGCGGTTTAATAACAATAGTTCTTCCAAGTCCTCAGTATAATAAAACAATAAATTCCTCCGTAGTCATAGTAATTACAGGAACCGCCACTGATAATTTTTTTTGTGTTAAAATAAATGATAAAGGCATAATTAGGTAAATGTTTATAAACCCATTATATTATAATTTTTGGGGTTTTGGCTTGATCCCTTGAGGTTTAATTAAATAACAATATTTTCTTAGATTTCAGAAATAACATAAATTCTTATGCTGTTAGTACCATTAAAATTTATGATTTGATATGTTAATGAATAACCTAACGATATGTTAAAAATTTATGATTTTTTGCCATAAAAAATAACGATGGGGGAAGTTTGTTATTACTATAATGATAGGAGGGAGTTTTTTATTAAATCATACTTAAGGGGGATTATTGTTCTTAACGCTAAATTTTAACATATACTAAGGTTGTGTTTGGTTAAGAAAATATTGTATTACTGAGAATGTTATATTAATGGAAAGATAGATTACTTTCAAGATTACTGGGAATATTTAGAGAAATATGTTTGGTTGGTTGGAATAAATTGATGGGTATATTATGTAAATTATTAAATTGCCCTTATTTTTAAATATTAATATAATAATAATAATATTATTATTATTTGAATAATTTTTTTAACCCCCTCCATTTCAGATTTAGTTAAAACACTGCAGCAATAAAAAAAGTTTAAAATTTAACAAAAACACCCCCACTTATCCCAAGCCACTACCTGGCTACCTGCCACCACCACCGAGGGTGGCAACAGTGGAGATTTGGTTGTTTCTAGCATGGTCAGAAACGGCTTTACTTGCACATGGTTGGCCAGATACAACCAGTTATGTGCCATTCTATCGTTGTCGATAGTGGTGACCAAATCCGACCACCACCCATGAGTAATTTTTAAAAATTTTAGGGGTATTTATGTCCTAAATTTTTTATATATAAGGATAAAATAGTCTATTAGTATTTTTGTAAATTATTTTTAAAACAAGGGCATTATTGTCTTAAAATTTTATTAATAATGGGTAAAATTGTAACAAAATTAAAATTATCAAGTAATCTGAAAATGCCTAAGAAAATAGAGGTAATCAGATTATCTCTTATATTACTAATAGTAATTACTATTAGTTTTGAAAGATTATTAGAATCTTATAATGACATTACCTCAATTAGGGGCGGATCCAGAGAATGTTGAGGGTGGGCCATGGCTCACCCTCAAATTAAAAAAAATAAAAATTAATATGTAATTTTTTTTTCTTTTTGTGACAATTTCGACTAATTTGTTATATGCAATTAGATTTTATTTTGGCTCACCCTAACAAAAATTTATGGATCCACTACTGACCTCAATAATGAGGAATTACCACCAACCAAATACACCCTAATAGCTCACTGTCATAAAGAAAATTATGTCATTTATGAAATCTTAGGAGAAATTTTATTATTTAATTAAACCTCAGGGGGTTGAGAAACCTTTTATGGGCCGGCCCATCCATATCCAGAGCCCAAACAGTTGGGCTTGTTCTTTTGTAAAGTGACCCATTTTAAGGGCCAGCCCATTTTGCACCGATCCGCACTTTGTAAACCGACTCAAGCGCTACATTTTGTCTCCTCTTTCAAATCAAAACCCTAACCCGGGGTTTCTCTGTAAGCTAAGCTGTGATATTACTCAAAGAGAGGGATTCGCCGCTCGTGCTGTCAACATGGTTCGTTCTTGCTTTCAATATCTGAAACACAAAGGCTAATTATGGTTTGAATTAATTTATTTGAATTTTTTTTTTTTTTTTTTTATTGAAATAGCCGCAAGGTGATTACATTGAGCTTCATCGGAAGCGACATGGCTACCGACTGGATCATTTTGAGCGCAAGCGCAAGAAGGAGGCGCGTGAAGTTCACAAGCGCTCTGAAATTGCCCAGAAGGTATTTTAATTTCCTGAGTTTTTAATATATAGATAACTTTTTTTTTTTTTTTTTTTAATTTTCAACTATTTATGATCTTACTTTTTTATTTTTATTTTATTTTTTTATTGTCAGTCTTTGGGTATAAAGGGCAAGATGTTTGCTAAGAAACGATATGCTGAGAAGGCGCTGATGAAGAGAACGTGAGTGTTTATTTATATAATTTGTTTGTTTTACTTATATTACGAGTGAACTAATTTTATGAGTGCGAGAAATTCAAACTTACTTTAAGCTAAAACTTCTGATAAGTATAGTAAAGTTGTCAGTTGAATGTAAAGTTTTAACTACGAGAATTGTTGACAACTGTGTAGATTGTTAGGGGAATGTATGGTGCTAAAGGGATTACATAGCTTTTATTATTAAAATGGGAATGTATGAAATTGGAGATTGTATTAAAAGTCTTAATTTTCATCATTTTTAATGTATTTTCTGATGTCGTGAATGATACCCGATACATTTGTATGGCTGTTGGAGGAGTTTTTTCAGTCGGTATAGGCTTTGTTTTGAAGTGTTAATTGGAGTTCTGCCCCTAGATTTTTGTCTCTTTGTTGTTTCAAAATGACCTTATGTAACCTTTTGAAGTTTAAAGAGATGAAGTTTATTGCACATTGATGGTGCCATGTTTTTACACTAGTATATAAACTAATTTTTAGTGAAGTTCTAGTTAACTTTCATTACTACTTTTTTCAATGTTTTTTTATCTTCATTTCGTGCTATGGATGTGTGAAACACATGTATTTATGTTACCTTATATATATCTAGATTTACACTAACTCCCCTGTTTGCTTGAGTTTCATTGTTCATGTCATTTCATGTATTTATGCTTTCCTTGGCCTTTATAATTACTATATTACTTTGTTGAATGGAATCAATAAATAATTATCTTGTGGATATACAGATTGGCTATGCATGAAGAGTCATCAAGTCGGAGAAAGGTGGATGATGATGTTCATGAGGGAGCTGTTCCAGCCTATTTGCTTGATCGTGAAAACACGACAAGAGCTAAGGTACGTTTTCGTTGCATATTGATGAATGCAGATTCATAGACTACATATGTCTACATTGTTGTTAAATTTGACATTTTGTTGTTTTAGGTTCTGAGCAACACTATAAAACAAAAAAGAAAAGAGAAAGCTGGAAAATGGGAGGTACCTCTACCCAAGGTAAGTTGAAAATTCTACTTCTTGCTTTATCCTCTCCATTTAGCTCTCTTGATTTTAATTTTCTCTTGCACATGTTTTTTTCCCTTGTGGGAGGTATGTTGATCTTTACTGCCAATTCTTTACATGTTTTAACTAAAAGTTTTTTCTTTTCAGGTTAGGCCTGTGGCAGAAGATGAAATGTTTAAAGTGATCAGAACTGGTAAACGAAGAAGTAAGTATCATAACCATTTTTTTTAATAGGCACTTCAAATTAGCACATTGCAGGTGTTGACCAGATGTTGTTTTATAGAATTAAAATTTGAACCTTGATGAAATGAGACTGAGGTGGTTAAATTTAAAATGTTGGTTGGAATATTGGCTTGTAGATATTATGTGGTCAGAGATAGCTGTCATAAAATTGATTTGTGCAAGTAGCATGTATGCCATGTTCTTGAGGCTGATTCTTTTGCTTTTTAGTTTGTATTGTTGTGTTGATTATGGTGAATTATTTGCTTAAAGGATATCTCCATGATCTCTGACAGTTACTGCCTGGTTATTTCTTTTGCAGCCAAGCAGTGGAAGAGGATGGTCACTAAGGCTACGTTTGTTGGACCAGGTTTTACAAGAAAACCTCCAAAGTATGAGCGTTTCATTCGCCCATCAGGGTTGCGTTTTACAAAAGCTCATGTAACACATCCTGAGCTCAAATGCACCTTCAACCTTGAGATCATTGGAGTGAAGAAAAATCCTAATGGCCCAATGTATACCTCTCTGGGTGTTATGACTAAGGGAACAATCATCGAGGTGAATATATAATAAACCATTTCATTATCCAGTTTTAACTCTGTAGCAACTTCGTAACTTATTCTTACTCTGAATTCAGGTGAATGTCAGTGAATTGGGTCTGGTCACTCCAGCTGGAAAAGTCGTGTGGGGTAAGTTTCCATTCTAAATTTCTGACTCTTGAACCGGTATTGGTGTTAGCTTTCTCGTTACAACCTTTGCTTATTTATTGTTTGTCCATGAATGCAGGGAAATATGCTCAAGTGACAAATAACCCAGAGAATGATGGTTGTATAAATGCAGTTTTGCTTGTTTAAGAGAGGATTGTTGACTATTGAGAACACTTAACATGTGGGGGCCAATGCATGTTTTTGTGAAGACCTAACTCCTTTCCTTTTCTATATTGTATCTATAAACTTTTGTCACCTTCGAAATGTCTCTTATCAAAGAAGTCACCAGTCAGTTCTAATTGTAACAAGAGATGAATATTATATCCTTGGAATGGATGTTTCAATTTTGTTTTACACTGTTGATGGTAAAATTTGTAAACTCTGCTTTCCAATTATGTTTTATGATGTTTCAATTTTTAGCCTCTTAGGGAAGGCTGTAATGGTGGATGGCTGTGGTTGTAATGGAAGTAGAGTTTTCGAAAAATGATAAATACGTGTTCAAATCAAATATAGGGTTTATAAATTATAACGATAATCGCTCGGGATATAATCAAATAAAACAATATTACTTGACAAATTTTTCTCACTTTCTTTCTTTTATAAATACAACATATTAGTTTGCAATTGATTAGTTTATAATGAATCTTGTTTGTCTAACAATGGTTTTGATCAATTGTAAACTATCACGTCGTATTTGTGAGAGAAAATTAGTGATAAGAGTTTGTTAGCCTATTTTTATCAAATCAAATAATGTCAACCTATCTTTATTGAATCAAATAAGAGTAATATTACGTCTACACCATTCTTTTATACCATATTCATTACATCATGATATGACATATGTCACAATCACACAAATTTTTAATTATTTTTAATTTTAATATTATAATAGAATTTGTGTGATTGCGACATATGTCATATCATGATGTAATGAAAATGGTGTAGAAGAGTGGTGTAAATGTAGCATTACTCATCAAATAATAGCTCTGTTTGGTACACTTTTTTGAATAATATTCTATTCTGAATAAGATAAGATTATGAGAATGTGTTTGGTACATTTTTTGAAAACATTTTTAGATTATTTTTTAACTCCCTACATTTGTTAATTTAGTTAAACATCCTCCATAATAAAAGTTTATAAATTAACAAAATACTCCCATCTACCCAATTGATTGCCGGAAGCCAACCACCACCACCCAATCAAATAATAGCTTCGTTTGGCTGTCGTCAACGGCCAAATCTTTAGCCGTGATCTAGCCATTTCTAACCAGATCCATGGTGGATCTGGTCGGAAACAGACAGATCAACGCACGATCGATTAAATTCGATCGATTGTGCATCGTTCTGGCGTCGACGGCAAGCGGCAACGGTGGTTGATGGCTGGCAGTGATTGCTGGTAGGTGGTTGTTGCTTGGGTAAGTGATGTTGTTTTTATTAATTTATAAATTTTTATTAAAAAAAAATAATTGTTAAATGTTTTGAGTTGAATATAATATGATTGAATTTTGAACTATATAAAAACAAATACGATTTTCACGTTTTAGGATATGATGGTAGGAGAAACTTCGTCGTTGTAGTAATAGTAGAAGGAAAATAATAGGGACACCGAGAGTAGTGCATCGAATTTATGCACCGAATGACGTGATAAAATCTTGATCGTCAATTAATTATAATTTAATATTAATCGACGATCAGGATTTTGTTACGTTATTCGGTGCACTACTCCCGATGACTGTAGCATTTCTCATAATAGAAATGCAGTAATATTGGAAATGCACGTGCTCTTTTGCTACCAGTGTGACTTGCGAGACTAGGGTCTAGGGATGGGCCTTTTCTCTGTCCCCATACTGCCCTTGATATATTTATATATTTATAGAATTACCCTCCCTATATATGCCTACTTTTACCACCCAATTCCCGCATCACAGCCGCCCCTCCGCTTTTCCTCGCTGATATTATTTTGCCCTCTCTCCCTTTGTCTTTCACTAAACCTTTCTTCTCTCCCTCGCTTGCGCAGATCACCGGAGACAAACAACCAAACAGGCCGCTGCTTGGACCTGTCTGGTTGACTTTGTCTCCGGTGATCTTCATTTGCCGTGGATAAAATACTAGCTCCTGCGTGCTTTAACTCTGGTTTTATTTCATGTTCATACTTACGGCTTCATTATAAGTGAACCTTTCCCAGATGAATTTGGATGTTTTTAGTGCACTTGTTTTATAGGATTTTAACCTTTATGGTACTTCCATAATAATATTCCTTAATGAATTAATTTAACATTATGCTACTTTTCTTTTTGATATTTCCAGGAAAGCACATTATATTTGGATATGTAGGGGAATGGAACTGATCAAAAGGCTCGCAGTGTCCAGACTGATAAAGATGATTCATGATAGGTGTGCCTTTCTTATAATTATTTTTATTTTTATTTTTTTTGGGTCATTGATTACACAAATGAGCCAGCTATACCTGATAGATTTCAGGGTGGGAATTATTTATAACTTGGGTGCTTAATAGAATTACATTTCTGTGTTGAAGTGATTTCATAGGCTTAATAGAATGAATTCAAATACTGCCAGTTTCTTTGTTGTTTCACTCTTCTGAAACTCCATACAACTTTGGTAGACCTGGGCCACCTGGCTGTGGCTGAGTTTCCTGAAATAATCCAAAATCCTCAAAGCCAGGCCAGATTGTCAGAGAGGTCAAAGAAATCTGCTGGGTGTTAAAAGCGATCAAAAGTGTTCCGTACCTTATAACATCTCTTATCATACTCTTTATTTTTAAAGGGTATATTTCACATTTATTAATTTTTAAAAAACAAAATTTATATCCAAATGTAATAAATTTTTACATTATATTTAATAAATAGGAGAGACACTTAATAAGATAGAAAATTAATAATAAAATATATAAAAATTTGTAATTTATTAAATAAAATTAAGATAAAGTCTTTAATTTATATTTAAAAAGTAAAGAGTTTATTAAATTTTTATTTTTATAATTAAACTCTTTATAATAAAGAGTTTGAGTCATATAAAGAGTCATTTGAAGATGCTTTTATCATGTTAATTGTAAGAAAATTCAGAGTTCATTGGAATAGCTATATACCACAAATATCTACGGGCATCTCCAATAGGACATCCAAATTTCGTAATTTTGTGCCCTATCTAAGTTGCCCTGATTGAAAATTTCAGCGAACTATAGATTTTCTTCTTTAATAGTTTCAATTTGATTTGAAACTTCTTCATCGTTTTTCCTATTTTGAGATCTTTGACCTTGTTTTTTTTTTTTTTTTTGGCATTTTATATTAGATGTAATTTTTTGTTTTATATTAAATGTAACGTTAATTCGACTTAATAAATGCTTAATTTTATAAATTAGTATAATTTTCAAAGTTATTATTAATTAATAAAAATATTATTCCCAATAATTAATTAATATATACAAAAATAATAAGTGAAATAAATTAATTGTTGAGAATTAATAGAAAGTGCAAAAAAGAATGTTCTAAAGAATATTCTTTTTGGTGTAATATTTGGTGTAATAGGTTGAAGATGCAATAGTAAAATGGTATGAAAGTTACACCAATTTGATGTGAAAGTTACACCAATTTGGTGTTTATGGTTGAAGATGGTCTAAGTGGTGGAATTTCACATCATTTTTCTATTACATGCACCAAATATTACACTAAAATGAATATTCTTTAGAATATTCTCCTTCTTTCCCTTTCTATTAATTCTCAAATATTAATTTATTTTATTAATTATTTTTGTATATATTAATTAAATATTATGAATAATATATTTTATTAATTAACTACTAATAATAACTTAGAATATTATTCTAGTTTAATAAAATTAGACATTTATTAAACAATAAAAATTAGCTCACAATCCAATCTTATAAACTTTTTCTTATAACCTTGACGTGATAATAATTGGGTTGGTGAGACTCATTGTTGGACAAGCGAGACCCATTATAAGCTGACCAATTACGAGTTGTCACGTTTGGGTTGTAAGAGAAAATTTGTAAGATTGAGTTTTAAGTGTACTATTGCCATTTATTAAATCAAGTAAACATTGCATTCAATATAAAAAACATTACATCTAATATAAATACCACAAAAAATATAAAAACAACACAAAAGTAAAATTCCATATTGATAGAATTTAATTTTCCAAATTAGTATATTCTTCCCACAAATGATCAATTAATGTATTTCGAAAGAGCATGGTGAGTCTGCGTATCATTGATTTGTCTATGTCAAACAATAAAATTTTGAAATCGGACATTTTCATTTACCACAATTTCAACTTTGAGAGTTGGCGCTTCTATCTGATTCTCAATCGGTGCATCAACATCACGATCATCCTCGATTATCATGTTGTGCATGATAATATACGTAGTCATTATATCATGTAATACATTTATTTCCCAAAAATGTGTTGGTCCTGCCACAATTGCAAACCGCGATTGGAGAACTCCAATCGCACGTTCTACATCTTTTTTACATCCTTCTTGTTTCATTGCAAATAATTTTTTTTTGGGACCATATGGATTGTGAATAGTTTGTACGAGAGTAGACAATTTTAGGTATATACCATAAGCTAAATAATAACCCATATTATACTCTTTTCCTTGAATGATATAATGAGCAGGAGGAGTAATACCTTGAGCGAGGTTGACAAATAGATGAGATGCCTCCAACACATTAATGTCATTATTGGAACCTGATACTCCAAAAAACGCATGTCATATCAATGATCGTAATCAACTACAACCTTGAGAATAATAGTTGTGGATCCACTACAACTAGCATATTGTCCTGCCCAAGCTGTTGGACAATTTTTTCACTTCCAGTGTATACAATTTAGGCTACCCAACATTCCTGGAAAACCACGTTGTTCACTAATATGAAGTAGGTTGACAACATCATTAGCATTAGGTGATCTTAGATACCGCTCTACAAATACCTCAACAACAACATGACAAAATCTCTTCGGACTTTCAATTGTTATAGACTCACCTATTTTAATATACTCATCAGTAGTATCTACTGGTAGACCATATGCCAACATCTGGAACACGGTTGTTATTTTTTAAAAGCAGACAATCTGAGTCTACCAATCTCATCCCTTCGTTGTATAAAGTAGTTATCATGACGTTTCACAACATCAACAATACGAATGAATAAACTTCGAGACATTCAAAATTGTTGACGAAACATGAAACCATTATACCGTGAATTATCGGCAAAATAATTGTTGAACAGATTGCGATCAACATTTTCCCGATCGTAATTGATGACTATATGATTAGGAATTGATTCTATATGGATCACCTAGTTATTTTGTTGATTGAAGAAGTGAATTTGGAGGAGGTTGTTGTTAGCTCTCATACGAATGATTGCTTCTTGCTCTACATTAATTGCTTCAACATCATTCATCAATTAACGTCATCGTTTTCACTTCAAAAATGAAGATGAATTAGAAGATGATAAATGAGATTGACTTCCAACATTGAAATTCATCTTTGTAGATATATAGATAAGTTGAATGATTAGGAAGTTGATTTGGTGTGAACTTTTATAATTGAAGAAGATACTATTCTAGATAAAAAATTATTTGATATGATAAAAAAACGATTTGTATTGTTTCAAAAGATGCACTGTCTATTCAAGCTTTTAAGATTTGTATCTTATTTCAAAAAATGTAATCCATTCAAACTTTTGAGATTTGTAGCTTATTTCAAAAGATGTATTGTCCATTCAAGCTTTTAAGATTTGTCTTATTTCAAAAAGATGCATGGCTCATTTAAGCTTTTGAGATTTGTGTCTTATTTCAAAAGTTATATTGTTCATTCAAGCTTTTGAGTTTTGTGGCTTATTTAAAAAAAAAAATATTGTCCATTCAAGCTTTTAAGATTTGTGTTTTATTTCAAAATATGTATTGTCCATTTTGATTTTAACGTTACATGTATATCATTTTGTAGTTGACTCGAGCCAAAATGTTACTAGCATAAGATAAAAGTTATAAGAAAGGTTTTAGATTTGATTATGTGTGGCCTATACTTAAGGACAATACATCTTTTGAATTAAGACACAAATATTAAAAGCTTGAATATGTTTTTGAAATAAGCCATAAATCTCAAAAGCTTGAATAAACAATATATCTTTTGAAATAAGATACAAATCTCAAAAGCTTAAATTAACAATACATCTTTTGAAATAAGCCATAAATCTCAAAAGCTTGAATGAACAATACATTTTTTTGAATAAGACACAAATTTCAAAGGCTTGAATGCACAATACATATTTTGAAATAAGACAAATCATTTTTTAATCATATATATATATAGAATAGTATCTTTTTCAATTATAAAAGTTTATACCAAATCAACTTCTTAATCATTCAATTTATCTATCTACAATAATGAATTTCAGTGTAGGAGGTCCATCTCATATATCATCTTCTAATTTGTCTCATTTTTCGAGAATGAAAATGATGACATGCAATTGATGAATGATGTTGAAGCGATTAATGTAGAGTAAGAAGCAATTCTTAGCATGAGAACTAACAACAACCTCTTCTTCATTCACTATCTTAATCAACAAAACAACCAAGTGATTTGTATAGGATCAATTCTTGGTCATATAGTCATCAATCTCAATTGGAAAAATGCTGATTGCAATCTGTTCAGCAATTATTTTGCCAATAATCAACGGTATTATAATTTCATGTTTCGCCGACGATTTTGAATGTCTCAAAGTTTATTCATTCGTATTGTTGATGTTGTGAAAGGTCATGATAACTACTTTATACAACGAAGGGATGAGATTGGTAGACTCAGATTGTCTGCTTTTAAAAAATAATAATCGTGTTCCAGATGTTGGCATATGGTCTACTAGTCGATGCTACTGATGAGTATATTAAAATAGGTGAGTCTATAACAATTGAAAGTCCGAAGAGATTTTGTCGTGTTATTGTTGAGGTATTTGCAGAGCGGTATCTAAGATCATCTAATGCTAATGATGTTGTCAACCTACTTCATATTGGTGAATAATGTGGTTTTCCAAGAATGTTGGGTAGTCTAAATTGTATGCACTGGAAGTGAAAAAATTGTCCAACGGCTTGGTCAGGACAATATGCTAGTTGTAGTGGATCCCCAACTATTATTCTCGAGGTTATAGCTGATTATGATCATTGATATGACATGCATTTTTTGGTTTCAACAATTACATTAATGTGTTGGAGGCATCTCATCTATTTGTCAACCTCGCTCAAGGTATTGCTCATTCTGGTCATTATATCATTCAAGGAAAAGAGTATAATATAAGTTATTATTTAGCTTATGGTATATACCCAAAATGGTCTACTCTCGTACAAACTATTCACAATCCATATGGTCCAAAAAAAAATTATTTGCAATGAAACAAGAAGGATGTAGAAAAGATGTGGAACGTGCGATTAAAGTTCTTCAATCGTGATTTGCAATTGTGGCAGGACCAACACGTATTTGGGAAAAAAATGTATTACACGTATTTGGGAAAAAAATGTATTACATGATATAATGACTGCGTGTATTATCATGCACAACATGATCATTGCGGATGATCGTGATGTTAATGCACCGATTGAGAATCAGATAGAAGCATCAACTTTCAAAGTTGAAATTGTGGTAGATGGAAATGCCCGATTTCAAAATTTTCTTGTTTGACATAGACAAATCAAGGATACGAAGGCTTATCATGCTCTTCGAATGCATTAATTGATCTTTTATGGGAAGAATATACTAATTTGGAAAATTAAATTACTATCAATATGAAATTTTTACTTTGGTGTTGTTGTTTATATATATTTGACATTTTATATTAGATGTAATGTTTACTTGATTTATTAAATGTTTAATTTTATTAAATTAGCATAATATTCTAAGCTATCATTAATAGTTAATTAATAAAATATATTATTCTCAATATTTAATTAATATATACAAAAATAATTAGTAAAATAAAATAATTGTTAAGAATTAATAGAAAGAAATTGTAAGGAATATTTTTTTTGATATAATAGATTAGAGATGCAATAGTAAAATGGCATGAAAGTTGCACTATTTTGGTGTGAAAGACAAATACATGGATTTAGTGTTTGTGGATGGAGATGATCTAACATTTTATAAATTTATATAATATAATATTTGCCAGGATATATATTTGGTCTTCACTATGGTTAATCAAATGCTTGTGATATATTTTGCTTATTCTTTCAGTTCTGATATTAACAAAAAAATTTGGTTTACTTTTCATGAAATTGGAAATGCTGATTGTTGTAATCTATGATTATGTACGAGTTTTATTAACAATCGTACTTTTTTGTTTTTATTTTTGAACTGCTACAGGCCCCTTCATGATGTGAAAACACTTGAGACCTCGGTTAAAGATTGATGCCTTGTAGCTTTCGTGTAACGATTCCAAAATGCTGTAACCTCTGATTTTGGATGTACCAAACATTCTTCAAAACACATATAAATTCCGGACTTTAGCATCTCATTGAAATGGAAGGAAAAATATGACATTTGAAGAATATAGATCCTTTTATTTTAATTTGGAATTTATGATTAAAATAAATGCTTCTATTATTAAAATTTGTAGAGGATTATGATTTTTGAAACAAGTGTATATGATACTCATCAAGACGTTGACAACCATACTAAAACTTTGAATCCAAACACAGAAATGGGCAAAGAGTTTCTGATTATCATTGGGTTGGTTACACGAATTCAAAACTGCAATTTATGCAATCAACTAAATCATTATATCAATAATCTGATTATCATTTTCGACCAAGGGCAAGTGAGCTTCTTTGCCTTTTGATTTTTCCTCTTTTTATCACTACCCAACAAAGCCAAAAGAGCTCCCCTATCAGGTGTTGTTCTGGCTAACCATTCATTGCAAAATCTAAGGACCAAACCATACTAGAGAAAACAAAACTGCCCTTAAAAAAACAAGCCAACTAATTTTTATACTCAAGGGGAAAAAATGCCATTTCTATACCTAATTTTCAGAGCAGAACATAGCCTCAGCAGTCAGCTCTTCCAAACCACAATATTACTTGCACATCTAAAAATCAAATTGTGGAGTACTCTTGCTGCATTCTTTTTCCAAAAAATCTGATCCTATGCAAAATAACAACTTGGTCGCCACATCGTTACACCACTGGGCTCTCTATTTCCACTAGAACCCACAATAACTATACATCAGTAAGCTGCATCTGTCTGAATACAATCCCCATCTCCACTAAACAATAGCAGCCATTTTAATGTAAGGTTGGAAGAGATGCTATGTACTACAGAAGTCATGGAATGGTTGACATATCAGTTTAAACACACAATAACATCAGAAGAAAATCATAAATGTAGCAAAATGGCGTAGAGCCATGAACAGAATAAACATATCTTGCACAACTCAACACTCATTGAAGTCATTATACAAGGGATAATATTCCCGAACAAATTATTGATAACAAAAACAATAAAGATACGTCACAAGAAAACTTCACAATTATAAGATGACAAACCGGAGATGCTAACCAGCACTGGCAGGTGCAGGTGCAGGTGCAGGTGCAGCTGGAATTGGTGGTTCAATGGCTTGAAGCAAACCTGTTGCAAGCTTCTTAGTCAAATCCTCTGCTGACACTTTCACTACATCCTTCCTCATGCCAATATCAGCAGCATATCGGCTAGCACAGTAGACGGTGACAGCTGTTGCTACCATCCCATAGACATTGGTGGTCACAAGCCGCAATGGTGTTGATAAAACAGCAGCAAGCGGCCCCCCGATGATAGATACTGCTTGGCCACTCTGTCCCATTGTTCCTTGATCCACAACAAGGAGTCCAGTTTTGCAGTAGATTGCGAAGTCCTCACAATTGTTCTTAAACACATTGTAGCACCCAAAGCCATTGTCAAGCAGGTACTTTGCTCGGTGTACCACGACATCATTTGGGTCAGAGACTGCAAGAGTGCAAGTTCCACCACGAGCTTTCGCCAGGAAGAGAGCAGGGCTGGCAGAATACTCAAAACGGTACAAGACACCACCAGCAAGGAAGCAATTTAGGCATGAGAGGACAACTCCATGACCATCTCCAGAGGGTGTACAGGTGGGGCAGGGCACTACAGATCTAGCTGGTCCTGAGCTTACCAAGAGGATATCAAGTACCGTGCCCGTTCCTACTTCTTGGCCCCGTCTAGTAAAATGAATGACTTTATCATCCCCAATATAGATGCCTATCATCATTCAAGATCCAAAAATAATTATTTTCATATACACCAACGAGAAAATAGAATATAAATAGATCTTATGGATCGTGAAAATAGATTCTGAGAAATAGAAAGTGGAAATAATAAATTACCAATGAAAGAGCATAACACTACACTGTGCTTAAAACATTTGATATAAATGAGCTCTACTAACCTACTTCTTCCTCATATGAAAGTCATCTTAATAGTGCATAATCTATTTCATACAAATAAACCTTTCAAGAATAAAAAAAAAGAACAAATATAGATCCCCTAATTCAGTTTCAGAAAACCCATCATTAAACTTTAAATGACCTCAAACAATTAATCAACTAATTCAGTCCCTAACATAGTGACGACCCCATTCAACCACAACCCAAGTAGAAGAAAGAGCGCAAAAAGTCGCCCAAAATTTAATTCCCAAGACAAAATGATTTCATGACTGAATACATAAACATCCATTAGAAAAAACAGCTCCATACCAAATCCATTCCGCCACATTACATGATGAATCCTCCTAATATTCAGAAAAAAACCCATGACAAACAAGTCCAACTCCTCCAGCTTAAAATTGATATACAATTTCATTCAAATTTGTAATTGAAGATTCAATTTGGTTAAGCAAAAGTAATATTATCAAATAAATAAATATCTTAAATTTTCCACAAAATTCATTACAAAACCTGGAGCTAAAGTTTGATATACAGAGCAAAATCATAATCAAATTTGTCACAAAATAAATCAAATTAAAATATTAAACTCAACGAAATACTAGAACAATGCCAGTGTATCATATTAAAAAATTAAAAAAAATCCCACAAAAATTAAAAGAAATTAAAAAGAGGAAAAAGAAAACAAACCGTGATGAGCGTAAATATAAGCAGTCCTCCACGAATAAATGTGATCCCCTGGTTTCAAGCTCTCCTTATCAACCCTGCAAATCAGCAACAATTATAATGATACAAAAAATTAAAAATTGTACTCTTTAAACAAGGGTACTTTACCTAAGCCCATCCGTTTCCCAATCGAAGGGTCCTAAAATTTACATGTGTTAGGACAAAACTCTATAGTGCAACTATTGTCTTCACATATTTTGGATACTGAGATGAGATTAAAATGAAATGCAGTTACACATAACACATTTTTAAGTGATAAAGTGGCAGATAAGTGGACGATTCCTATATGAGTAGCTGGGGTAATATTTTTGTTCGGCATATGAATGGAAGTGGATTAGGCAGTGGAAATAGTGGTAAAAAATTTTGGGTGACAAATTATGTGATCACTAGCCCCTGAATCAATAATCCACATATCAGTTTTGAATACATTAAAACAGTAAGAGGTGCTTGCGTAAGATGCAGTGGGAGCAGTCAGGGCATTGTTCAGTAATTGGAGCAATTGATTATATTGTTCTAGATTGAGAGTAGGTGCTGACTGATTTCCAAGAGAAACTTGGAAAGAAGAAGAATGACCATTTCTCTCCTTGTTGTTGGAATTCGGACGACCATGTAATCCCCAGCAATGGTCTCGATCATGATTTCTTCTTTTACAATAATCACAATATAATCAATTTTTATTGGATCTTGAATTTCCTGGCCCATTTGACCCAAATCTAGACCCGTTTGACCCATTTCCAGATCTAGTTGACATGTTTGACGTCAAACACATAAATCAGATGAAGATGATGAGATTGATCCAATCTGTACATATGACCGAAAAAGGCCAAATCGATGCACGACCGGCCAGATCCAACCGGTTGTGTGCTATCTTGACAGCTTCTGGCCACCGTTCGGTGGTGGTGGCTGGTTTCGACAATAGTTGGCTGGGTGGGGGTGTTTTTGTAATGTCGAGAGTTCATTTCATAATTATATTTACAAATTCATGTTACCATTTCCATATATTTATAAACTTTGATTGTATATTGTTTCTGCAATTGGTTTAGACATTTTTCAGGGAATGCTGAAATTGAGGGAAATTTCAAAAAAGTTGACACCAATCTAGATGATTTACATACTGCTAGAGACAAATTCAGAGAAGTTATTGACCAGATGTTAGAAATCATGCAATCTACCATGGATATTATCTATAACATAAACAAAAGAGAATATGCATTTGCACTAGAGGAACTGAACAACTATAAGACAAATAGAAAATAAACACTATCTACATCATCTAAATTATCTACATCATCTAAACCCACTTCACAATATGAAAAACCGATGTACTTATTTCTTTTATAATAAAAGTATTATTCTCTATGTTCAACTTTATCTTGATTTTAATGTTACTCATTAATTGATTGAAAATTTTTCCTTTAATTGACGCATTACATTTACTGTTTAATGAATCTACTAAAAATTCTCCATCTTGACACATTGGTTTTGATTTAATTCNGATTTTAATATAATTAGAGAGGGTTTTTGATGATTTTCGAAAAGCTTCGATATGCTCAATAAAACAATTCCACAAGGGGTATAGAAAATAAGGATATTTTTTTCCCCTTATGAGATCATTGAGTATAAACTCATCCACTTCGTTCATAAAATATTACTTTCTAAATGAAGTGGATAATTTAATACTAAGTGGTCTCATAGGGAAAAATAAATAATCCCCTTTTATTTTTAAGTTTTTATACATTGTTGGGCTCCAATTAGGTTAAGCCCATGAGCAGCTACTGAACTTATGGGCTTCTTGCCAGCCTAAATTAGTTTGTTTTACATTATGTTATCAAGGGTGAGTTTGCTAATGTTTTGGCAAAATTTATTGTGTTTAAGAATATAGAAAACAATAAAAAAAAGTAATATTTATAATTGATTAAGTTTTTGTGTGAATTTCTAAAGTAAATCATGAGAATTTCTGGAAAATATGATCATCAATATGTTTAGAAGTATTTATAATCACTCTTTTATCTATCACAAAGGCTATATTTCATTTTTTTCCTATGAGACCGTTTAGGTTTAAACTTATCACTTCAAAGTATTAAAACCTCCCTAAAAAGTATCAAAAACTCCCTTAAATATATTAAACAATCCCCTACAAAATTATCAAAAATCCCTATTAGAAGAGTATTTAATACTTTTTGAATGAAACATATAATTTTAGTCTCCGTTTGGTGGAGAATTTTTTAGTATTCTATTCTCTATTCTATCCAAAATACACATTTATTCTATTATTCTCAAAATATTACTCTATATTATTCAAGTTCTTTTAAACCTCCTAAATTTGTTAATTTAACTAAACACCCTAAAAAAAAGTTTTAAAAATTAACAAAAACACCCCAACAACCCACATTTACCAGATTCTGACCACCATCGTCGGAAGCTAGCCGGAATATGGTATAATAGGATACTACTGGCTAAATCTGGATGATAGTGCACCGATCTAGCCTTTTCCGGCCAAATCCACGGTGGATCTGGCCGGATCGTAGCCAGTCGTCAACAAATGGCCAAGATATGGCTGTCGTTGACCATCAACAATGGTCGTATCTTTGGTTGTCGTTGACGACCAAATGCGGCTAGATCTGGCATTTTTCGACCAGATCCTTTGTGGATCTGGCCCGCAGCCTATCATGCGCCGATACGACAACTTCGGCCACCCTCCGGTAGTGGTAGCCGGCTGTCCGTATTTAATGGGTGGGTTGGGGGTGTTTTTGTAAATTTTTAATATTTTATTATAGGGGTGTTTAGTAAATAAACAAACATAGAGGGATATTTTTGTTTATTTCCAAATCCTACATCATAATACCCACCCAATTTTACTTTTTTCAGAATATTATTATAAAAAGTATCAGAATAATAAATCAAACGGACCCTTAAAATAAGTGATCTATTGGGGGAAAATAAGATAAACCCAATTCAATAATAAAAATATCGAAAAAATTAAGAACATCATTGTCAATTAAAGATGAATAACTAAGACAAGATTAAACATACTTAGTTCGGATGAATAAAAAAGCAAGTGTAAGAAACTGAAGGAAAATTTTGCTTACAATAATTGTTCAAATAATTATTTATTGTAAATGAGGAATCCCTTCCTTGAAGAGGTATTTATATAGGCAGAAAGAGATTTCTTTTGGGAGTTGTTTGATGCTTTTATCAATCTTAATTGAGAAATTTTAATTCAATGTTTTTAGTATTATTAAGAATATCAATAAGATAGCATGTAGTTATATAGAAAATACATACTTTTATCATATTCAAAAATCAATATCAAATAAATGTACATTTTTTTCATCTTCAGTATACTATTTTTGAAAAATAAAAAAAGGTACCAACTTATATAAGTGGATCTTAAAAATTCAAATTCAAATTTTAATTTCTTATTTTTATTTTAAATTAATTTTTCAAAAATAATCTTTTAAAAAAACTTAAAACCCTTGACTAATCTCATAAAAAGAAAAAACTCAAGTAAAAAAATTTATATAAAAAAAGCTCAAAAATAATTTTAACTGTTGTGCATGGTTTTGCTCTTAGGTTCTATGGAAATATGCCTTATCAAAATATGTTTTTCTTAATTGAGTGATCAAAGACTTGCTTAGGTTCAATTATGTATATATTAACCATTTTGCATGGTTTTGCTCTTAGGTTTTATGGAAGTGTGTTTGACCTAAAATATTTTGAGGGATCAAAGACTTACAATCTGACTCGCATATAGGTTCAATTGAGTAGATATAAACTGTTTTGCATGCATGGCTTTGCTCTTAAGTTCTAAGGAAGTGTGTTTTTTTTCCCCGATATATGTCTACTTTATTGAGGCGTTAAAGACTTATAAACTGACTCATATATAGGTTTAATTGAGTAGATATTAACCGTTTTACATGGTTTTGCTAGTTTGTAATTTTTTTTTTTTTTTTTTTTTTTAAGCATTAAGATCAATTAAAGCTCTTTGAGTTGTGTTTAACCTTTATCCAATTTTAACCAAGAATTGGTGGTGGTTTCCACCTTGACCAGTGGCCTGACCTTTAAGTCTACGAGTCTTGTTTGGCTTTTCTATCTATTTTTTGCCTTGATTCATTGCACATCACATTCTTTTTAGTAAATCCAGTTTATTATTTATAATATGCACGCGTAATTCAACCTGAAAATTACAATCTTTTGACCTTAGCTTACTCATTTCCATCTAAGAAACATATCAACTGGTATCAGAGCTTAGGTTGTGTGGAGTGAGCTCATTTCTACCATTTCTTACACACCATCTCAAGTACTAGCCATGTCCAACAATAGTGGATCTTCTTCCTCACCTGCATTGTGGGAAATAACCTCCAGAAGGATGTATGGATTAATAGCAGAGCTGAGGGAGCAATTGAACCAAGTTCTTCAACTCCTAAGAACACCAAACTCACCCGAATGAGAATGCCCTCCTCACCAACGTCCTCAACCTTAACGGTCAGTCATGAATGATGATGGGATCACAATTGACAACGACTCTAGTGACTCTGAAGTATGGACGAGAAGGAGGAAGAAAGTAAATGATGATTGTGGCCTACATATAGACATTCCAGAATTTGAAGGTAGTTTAAACCCTAATGATTTCCTTGATTGGTTGAGTGCTATTGAAAGAGTTTTAGAGTATAAGGAGTATTCTGAAGAGAAAAAGTGTAAGGTGGTTGTCTTTAAGTTCAAGGATTATGCCTATCTATGGATGGAGAACGTAAGGAAGCAAAGGGATAGAGAGGGCAAAGAGAAGGTCCGTTCTTGGGAAAAATTGAAGAAACTACTCAAAAAAAGGTTTCTACTGAAGAATCACAAACAGAAGCTCTACATCAAATTACACACTCTCAAGCAAGGTGATAAGAGTGTTGATGAGTATATTCGGGATTTTGCGAGACTCATGATGAGGGCCTGAATTGAAAAGGTTATCCGAAAACAAAAACCCGCCCTAGTTTTGCTTATGACCAAGAGAGAGGAAAAATAAGAAAGTAAGTGAACCACACCCTCTAAACCAACCCTTTT